AATGTTCAGTATCACTGGTGATTCAAGAGATGTAAATTAAAACAACACTGAGATTCCATCTCACCCCAGAAATAATAGCTGTCACCAAGGAGTCAAACAGTAACAAATGCTGGCAGGGTGATGAGGAAAAAGAAATCCACCACTGTAGTGGGAGTGTAGACTGGTGCAACTACTGTGGAAATCAGTGTGGAGATTCCTCAAAAAACTAGGGTTGGAGGTCCCATTCAACTCAGCTATTCCGCTTCTGGGTGTCTTCCCAGAAGAACTGAAAACATCCTAACACACTGATATATGGGCACTTATGTTTATAGGAGCACAATTTGTAATAGCTAAATCTTGGAAATAACCCAAATGCCCATCAACCAAGGAATGAATGGAAAAGTGTGATATTTTTATACAGAGGGGTACTACTCAGATAGAAAGAAGCATAAAGGTAAATGAATGACTATACTTATAAGTGAAAGAAATTAGACTCACATGTGTAAGTATCATATTGTCTCCTGGGTGTGAGAAACTGAGAGAGTAAAATAATGTTCAAAATGTACAGTAGATATGGTGAAGTGGGAAGAAATTGTTCAAAAGGAAAAAGGGAAAAAATACAAGTCAGTTGTACTATTAGTGTCTCTTAGTTCATTAAAATGGAAGGTCTATGCTAATATCAATTGGAGGGATTTTTGTGTCCATATCTTGTACTCTTTTAAAGATAACATGTAATGTATTAATGCTGTCATTACTCTATTATTTTGTTATGAAATTTTCTTTTATCTTTTTTCCATAAAATAAAAAAGGAAAAATTTCTTCTCTTAAAAATTAAGAAATTTCCTTTCTTAAAAATTGTTTTTAATTGTAAAAAAACCCAATCTTTACTATCTTAACCAGTTTTATGTATGCTTTTCAGTATTAAGTAGTTACATTATTGTGTAAGTACTGTCTAGAACTTTTTTCATCTTTCAGAGTTGAGGTTTAATACCATTAGGCATTCCCAGTTGTGCTCTCTCACCTCACCCCTGCAAACATCATTCTTTTGTTTGGCTTCATGAATTTAGCTATCATGGATACCTTATGTAGTAGAATCACGTAGTATATGTGACTAATTTATTTTCTGTACCTTAATGTCTTTAAGGTCTATTCATAGGCTATATAGTATTCCATGTTATGTATATACCACATTTCTATCCATTCATCTATTAATGTGCACCACGTTGTTACCTCTGCTTGACTTTTGTGAATGTTGCTGTTGCATATAACTCTCTTTGAGATGCTGCTTTTAATTTTGGAGAGGTATATGCTCTGAAGTGGAATTACTGGATCTAGTTTTAGTTATTTGAGGAACCACCATTCAGCTTTCAGTGGAAAGTACATAATTTTACCTTCACACCAACACTGCATAGGTGGTCACGTCTTCATTCCACCTTTTTTGGGGGAGATGCTGTAGTATCTGTCCTAATGGGTGTTATAAAGTGGTAAAAATACTTTTTGCCCAATTGAATTGTCCTTGTCAAAAATCATTTGACCACAAAAATGGTTTATAGAGTCCAAACTCCATAGATTTTTACATTTATCCTTATGCCTGTGAGATTGTAGCAGTTTTTGAATTGAAAAGTGTGGATCCTCAAATTTTGTTCTCTTTTTGCTCTCACTTTGAGGTTCATTTAAGCATTTGGATCTTATGCATTTCCATATGACTTCTAGGATTGGCTTTTCACTTCTTGCACAAATCCAGCTGGGAACTTAATAGGAATTACTTAGAATGCTTTACTCATTAGTAGAGATATTCCCAGAACTTATTTAATTCAAAGAGTAGAATTTCTTTTACAGTTTGAGCACTTCTTGAATATATTCTTTGTGCTCCACTTGCTGTGTCAGAGACATGAAGCATTAGAAACATGTTTGTTTTCTGGATGCTTATGTTGTGTTTCTATGTACATATTTGAGAACTATTATGTGTCTCATCTTTCTCACTTGACATAAGCTCCTTGAGGATAAATATCTTTACATTGATTCAGTGTGCAATAAAGTGCCTTATGTGTAGCTTGTGCTTATTATCAAAATTTTTCAATCAATAGAGCAATAAAACAATATAAAACTATACTTATATGCTCAGTGAGTGGCATGACCAAAAAGTATTGAATTTCAGAAGTAACAATAATATTTTGTAGATTTGTTAGGTAAGGTGAGAAAGAGATGGACATATGAGTGAGCTCTTTAAAGGTAGCAAGAACTGAACCAACTGGGTAGCATAGTATTTGGAGGATATAAGGTAGTTCATATTAGCTGAAATAGAACTTTATATTGGCTTGTAGATTGAGTGAAGAGTGGATAAATAGGAATATCATATTTTGGATGTATTAAATACCATTTGAAAAGTTTGTCTTTATTTGACATTTGAAGTTTTTTGAGCTAGGAAGTTTGGGGCAAAATAGTACTTCAGGAAGGGCTGGGTAGAGCTGTAAGCAGGAAAATTCATAGGAAGAATAGATATTGAGATATTTTCTCAGAGTATAAATTTAAAAATGATATTAAGTAATAAGTTATCGAGGAATGTAGGTTCTACCTCTGAAAATAGGGATCCTCAGCTATAGAAGAGAGGTATAAGAGCCAGGACAATTATGATCATGTTTTATTCTGGCCAAGTCTGACACTTCAATGCCTGGTACATAGAGATTTAAGGACTCAAGAACTAAAGTCGGGGGCCAGCGAGATAGCTCAGCAGACTAAAACACTTGCTTAGGCAAGTGCATGGACCATGGTTCCATCCCCAGTAGCACATGCTTCACCCCCAGGGAGGGCTGAGCTGGTCAGAGTCTGGACATAATGGCACACACCTATAATCCCAGCACTGGGGAGGCTGAAAGCAAGAGGATCACGAGTCCCAGCTGCATAGTGAAACCCTGCAGCAACCAAATATATTTAAAAAAAAAAAAAAAGAACTAAAGTGTGTGTGAATTTGGATATCATGTGGATATTACTATTGAACAGTAAAAAAAGCTGTATAGTGCACATATTGCAAAGGTTGTGTGCATGTACACAAATACACTGCTCCCTTACACACTACAGTCCAGTATGTGTGTTAGATTGTTGATAAACTTAGCTGCATATTAGCACTTGCAGAATGATGACAACTAATTCTTCGGGTGAGTAGAGGTAAAAAGAAGCTAAAGCAGGACCAGAAAATGTAGGAGTACTTAAAGTACACATTTGCTCAAGAGACTTTGAAATTTTTGCTATGTTTAAGAAGACTGTTATGGCTGGACTGTGTTGGATTGTTTTGCTGAATTCAAGCACCTGTAATATTCAGATGCCAATAGAATACCCATCTCTGACAGGACTGAACAAAAAAAGGGGATAGAAAGGAAGGACCATTTTTATTTGTATATACAGAATAGTTAGGATAGATATACAGCTACTTTTGCTTAATTCAATGAGAAGGAAGATTTGTACTAATAGTGTTTGGACAGGATATCGTGTCTGCTTCTTGTACTGTGAATAACCACTAAGAAGATAGCAATGTACAATGTATTAATTTTTGAAACTGTCCTATTAATCAGCTTTGAAACTGTCACATTGATATTTGTTTCTCAATAAAATAAAAATAAGAACACTGTTATGACTACTACAGGTAGTATTCCTGTTACATGTTGTTTATTGTATGCCAGGTGCTGTGCTAGGCATGCTTTGATGTCAGTACTATTATATCCCCCTTTTCCTGAAGAAATGGCAATCTGAAGAAGTCAAAACTTGCTCAAGATCTCTGAGCTAATAAATAGAATACTTTGTGGATATAAATAAAGTTTTTTTTTTTTTTTTTTTTTTACTCCAAGGCACATGTTCTTTCCATTATACCAAAAGTATATATGTTTAACTTTTGCAAGCAGGGATGGGCTAGGTATATACAGTCTTTAGTAACTCTTCTTAATTAGGAAATGATTAGGCAGTAGTGTTTCTTGTCAAAATAGCCAGCATGTACTTCATTTGTTTGCTTATTTGTTTATTTATTTATTTAGTATGGGGTCTACTGGGTCTCACTACAGAGATCAGACTCATAGTGATTCTCCTGTTTTCAGCCTCCCAAGCACTGGGATTACAGGTGCGTGCCACCACACCCAGTCTCAGTGACCTTCTCAATGTGCCCTGGGGGCGGGGCCGGCACTACCCGTCTTGGGTCAAATCCTGGTCACTACTCCTGCCTAAATAGGTGCATTAGTGTGGTGAACTATCTGGCCGGCCTGCTAGCATGTACTTTGTATGCAGCTGTGTCTTGGTTACTTTTCTTGTTGCTGAGACAAAATATTCAACACCTACAAGTTAATGGAGGAAAGGTTTGGCTCACAGTAGAGGCTGGCTTCAAAGCATGTGGGCATGTCAAGAGGGGCATCACAGAGGAGAAATAGTCCATGGCTGGCAGGCAGGAGACAGCAGAGCAGTAAGCAGTAGGCAGAAAAGCAGCAAGCAGCAGCAGCAGCAGCAGCAGCAGCAGCAGCAGCAGCAGCAGCAGCAGCAGCAGCAGCAGCAGCAAGTGTACCTCTCACTTTTACCCCTCTCTGGGTACCAGTCTTCTATGTGATGTTACTCACACCCAAGGTGGGCCTTCCTGTTATACACATCCAAAACTGTGCTGAGCAAATCAGTGGAATGATTTAGTAATCACACACCCTTAATGCCTGCATTACACAGTTTAATCCTAGCATCACACATCCTAAATCCAGGCCAAACTCTTAGCTATGAGTGCTTGAGGCTTTGGGGGGACATCTAGATACAAGGCATAACAAGCTGCTTCTACTTTTCTATTTGGGAATTTATATTCATAGCATATTCCATTTTTTATAGATATTGCTTATTTTAAAAGAAGACATCTTCTGTTTTCAGAATTAATTATTCAGAAAGAATTTTCCAAATTTTTTTTCTTAAGCTAAACACAAAGTTTAGGAATATATTTTTCAGAATGTTCATACATTAGCAAGAACTAAGAATGGCCTGCCATTTTTTTTTACTTATTCCAGGGGATATCATTTTCAATGCCCAGTACCCAGAGCTGCCCCCTGATTTTATCTTTGGAGAGGATGCCGAATTCCTGCCAGACCCGTTGGCTCTACACGTGAGTACTGTAGAACTTGTTCAGCTGATCTTTGGTGAAAAAATAAAATTGGCTTTTCATAATTGCCTAACAGATAAAATTGTCAAATATTTAAGGTTTTTTTTTGGGGGGTCTATCTCTTTTTTGTTATAAAATAAATTACAGTTTTACTTTCAGGCTATTCTGAACAAAAGGAAACTTTGTATTTCATTGGTTGAAATAGTTCTACTTCAGTTTAAAGAGACATGTTGAAAACATTTTCTTTGTGTCTGTGTGATATTTTTTGTCCATAGTGAGTTTTGTAATGTTTACAAACACTTCATCACAAGGTTGGTTGGGAACATTGCTTGGCTTCTTGAGAGGCCTTCTTTTCTGTATAGAAGTATAAGTGGCAAATTTGGATTGGTATCCACATTATCTGAGTGTCATTATCAGAAGAATAAGACCAGATTAAGTGTTCTTTATTAAGACTAAAATGTTTGTGGTGGAGTGAAATGTTTCTGGAATTGGAGTAGGGGCACTCACCATTAGGGAAAGGGTGGTGATACTTGTTAGAACACATGCATTTATACGAAAGTTGTGTGTTTTACATGGCTGATGGAGAAAAACATGTGCCATTTTGTTTAAATGATTTTTACCAGACAGAATGTCTTGTTTTTTTTTCCCTTCTCAAATCTGAGTTTCCTGTGATTTCTGTATGTAAATGGATTTGATTTTTGTTTAAAATTGTGTTCTTAGTTTGTTTCTGGAAAATTTTCTTGCTAAAAGGTTGGCTGACTTTGAAATCTTTGTCTTTTCCACCCTCTGATATAAAGGATATATTAACTCAAGCCCAAAAAAAAATTATCTTAAATTGTAGAACATGGATGTAAGAATGCCCTTGGCAAGATCAGGATAGGTTTGTTTTAAAGATTTTAATTGTATATAAATAGTTCATCAATTTTTAAAAGCTTTAGGTGCCATAGGTTACATATTCACCCTAAATAAATGTTGAGCTCTCCTGGAGGGGATGAGGTAGAGGTATAAATGTCCCCTGCCCAGTTGAGGGAAACATAAGCTAAATGTCAAAAATTAATAGTCTAAGTGCCTCTAGGATTTAAAGAAGGTAGCTAAAGAAAGATTTGCGGAGTAGGTAAGATTGGTACTCATTCTTGAAGAATGGAGGAAAAGTGGAAGGTGTGATCTGTACAATGTGTTGCAAAAGAAGGTACTGATGGATTTGCTGAGATGTCAATTAATATGGGAAAGGGCTAGAAAATGGACCTGGTGGTGCATGCTTCTAGTTCTAGCACTGTTGAAGTCTGAGGCAGGATGATTGCAAGTTTGAGCCTAACCTGGATAACTAAAGAGACTTATGTAGACTCTGTCTCAAAAATACAAAATAACAAAGAGCTGGGGATGTAGCTCAGTGTTAATACTCTAGTTTCAGTCTCCAGAAAACAGTAACAACAACAGAGACAACGTGGCTAGAAAAAGTAGAATAAACTGGAACAAACCTGGAGTGTATTGAAGAAAATGACAGAAAGGGAATCATCTAATTGTAGTGTGTCAATCTAATGAATTAAGGACAGTTTGAAGACCAGAATTGAAGACTGTTGTAAAAATCCTGCGCCGAGAGAAGAGGCTCTGTTTGAGCTAGGGTGATAAGAGAAGGAACACTATGATGATCAGGATAAGAAATAATTATTTAGAAACTCCTCCTCCTCCTTCTCTCTTGCTTCCCCCTTCTATTCTTCCTCCTTTTCTTATTCTACTCATTTTCTTCCACTTTTGAATTATCTTTACAATTTTAGTGCATATCTTACAGTACTGGCATGCATTGTAAGAATAGAATTTAAAAGCTAGAAAAGTCCTTAGGATTCATCTTATTTCACACTATTTTAGTGCTGGATAAATTGATAAAGATTTATATAACTGTGTCAGAAATGATACTATAATTTCATTTCTTTGGTATTTTATTCCCTAGTGTAGCTATCACAAGGTGTTTTTTTTTTTTTTTTTTTCAATTAGTTTAAAAAGAACAACCAAAAAAAAAAAAAAAATCAGAACTCTAGATTTAAGAGAAAGATTGAAAATCTAGGGGAACATTTTCTTTTTAGTGTAATTAATCCAGGTCCTCAGGTAGGCTTACCAGGTTTCTTCTGGATCAGAGGGCTGGGCAACCCTGGATAAACAGCCAGAGTGCACCCTCCACTACCCAGGTGATGTCCAAATAGCCCTAGAGGTTGCAGTTTATTTTGGTCTGCTTAAAATACCAGGACAGAATAAACTCTAAGGCTTGATCCCCAGCAGACATTTTCCTGAGCACAACTTGCCTCTAAAGCACTGTTGATATGTTTTAGGCTTCAGATTGAATTCAGACATTTTCCTGCTTTCTTCAAGTGCTGAGAGTACTTGAAGTCATCCACTAACCTAACTAGCAGTGTACATAAGGTCCTGACTGAAGAAGGATTCCGTGATTCATCACCCATGGAAAATAGAATGCTTATCTTCCTCAGACTTTTCTACTCAGGTCCTAATTACAGATGGCAATCAGTGTGTATCCTTAGACTCTGCAATTCCTGAGGCAAAAATGTGCATGATTTCTTTGAATTTTCTGGCTTTAAAAAAACAAAAATCTATGAAAAATTTGCATTTTGTTTAATAATATATCTGTATCTTAAAGTGCAAAATATATTAAATTATAAATATTTGAGGAAATTTTCTGATCAAGGAGATTATGGGGGCCATAGGGGAGAGTGATCGATGATGTATATTGTGCCTAAGGAAAGTCACCTAGAGAGAAAAAATTTTCTCAGGCTTTCACAGAGAATATATTGGTCAAGCAATGGCTGTGACTCATCCATATGGTGGACACTGACAAAATATCTACAAGGTGCTGTACATGGTTTCAGGGTAAATCCTGAGGGGATTTGATTGACCTTGTCAGATACAAAAGTTACATGTTTAGTTATATAGGTCTTGTTTTAAGTTGGTCTTAACCACCCAGCAGAAAGGTATAACCACGAGGTATAAAGAGTAAGTTATATTAATATGCTGAGCTATAAAAGGCTCAAGTTCAACAACTTTGGACAACTGCCAGTTGTGCTGATAACCCACTACAATTATGGACTATTTGACTATATTGGGTTATTTTGCTGAATTAAAGTCCCTATAATCTTTGGACTGGCATCAAGTATGAAAAGGTCCTTTAAAGACTTCTCCAAGTACAGCTTCTCTATCAGCAATGGAACACCCATCACTGACAAAACAGAACAAAAAAGGGGGCTATAAATGAAGGACCATTTTGTAGTGACAAAAAATATATGTATATTCAAAATAGTTAAGATAGATATACAATTACTTTCTTTTAGTTTGATGAGAAGAAAGGTTTGTACTAATATTGTTTAGACAAGATTTCATGTCTGCATCTTTTCCTCTGAATAATCACTATGAAGATAACAATATGCAATGTATTAATTATTGTAACTGTCCTACTAACCTGTTTTGAAACTGTTTCATTGCTATTTTATTTTCTCATTAAAATGAATAAAAAATTTAAAAAATACATATGTAGAAAAGAAAAAAATTGTATCTGTACAACTTTAAAAAAAATATTTGAGGAAAAATCCAAACTACGCAATTTGTCCAGTTTGAGAAATAAAATTTTGGAGAATGTTTTTATTAATATTTATTCATTTTATTTTATTCATTCTATGTGAACTTGCTCCCAAAGAAGAGGATTTGAAGATTTTATGTAAAAGATACACAGAAAATAAAGCCACTTCTTTTATTTATGTATTTAGTACAAGGCCTGCTACGGGATGTCACTACACAGATCGGACTCGTAGTGATTCTCCTGTTTTCAGCATCTCAAATGTTGGGATTACCGACAGGTGCACGCCACCATGCCCAGTCTCAGTCTCAGGGTGCCCCGGTGGTGGGGGGCAGCATGGCATGCCGGAGGATAGAACCCCTCCCTGCGTCTGTCTAAGCATGCGCTTTTATCCACTGAGCTATCTGGTTGGCCCTTGAAGTCACCTCTTTCTAAACTCGACTTTTCATCCAGGGTGAATTCCATTAAGCAACTTCAGATTGTCCGACGAATGTAAAATGCTAGATAAATATCAGATGTAGCAGTTCATCAATTCCAGAAAGTCATGCAATTATTGACCATGGGCCTTGGTGGCTCAGTGGCTTCCCAGTTCTGCACATTGATTAGCATAAGCAATGTGCAAAATTCTGTTAAAAGTATAGCATCCTGGAATCCACTGGACCTAGAAATAGAGGCTTTGAGAACCCAGGACTATTAAATTATATTAATTGTTTTTATGTATTGGTCTGTGCTACTGGGAACTGTGGACTGAAATGTCTTTATAGGAACATCTTCAACCGAAGGCTGTTTGCTTTTGCTTAACATTATTTCCATTGAAGTATTATTTTTCTACATTGGTGATAGGTCTAATTTTTTAAAAAATAGTTTTCTTTTTTTTGGTGGAACTGGGGATTGAACTCAGGCCATTGCGCTTGTTAGGCAAGCACTTATTCTACTGAGCTATCTCCCCAGCCCCCAAAATAGTTTTCTTGAGAGTTAATTTATGTACCACATAGTTCATCTATTTAAAACTATAATTCAGTGGTTCTTTTTAGTATATTCATTGTGTTGTGCAACCATCACCACAAATTTAGAACATTGTCATTCCCCTCAAAAGAACTCAACCCATTACAGTCATTTTGCTCTCTTCCCACCTAGGAAACAACTGATCTATATTCTGTCTCTGTTAGTTAGCTTCTCCTAGACATTTCATATTGATGGAATGTTATCTTTTATGATGATTTCCACTTAGCATGTTTTCATATGTTATGTATCAATTTACTTTTTATTGCCAAATAGTGTTCCATTATAAGTGTATACCGTGTTTATCTATTTGTAAGGAGATGGATATTTGCATTGTTTCCTTGCTTTGGTTGTTAAATCAATTAGTACTATTAGACATTTTTATTTCATTACCCTTAGATGCATCCCTTAGGAGGGGATTTGA